TGGTGTGAGTCCTTGTTGATGTCGAAAAAAGTCAGCTCTGCGTTTGCGCTGCCATCTGTCTCAAAATTCCTGGGATGCTAGCGGTGACGCCGCTCAAACCGCATTGGACATCACAATTTGTTGTATCTTGGTGCCTTCGGCCCATGCCGCCACCGTTCCGAGGTTGTGGGTCAGAGGCTTCTTGGAATTTCGTTGGGATATCGTGCAAAGCCTCTCGGTGGCCTTTTGGAAGCAGTCTTGAAGCCTCCGGGGGGCCGGCTTGGAACCTCTTTTGGACCTCTTGGGGGCCTCCGTTAGGCCTCTTGGAGACTCCTGGGGGCCTCTTGGGTCGGAATGCTCGAATTGTCGGTTCGTGTTCCCCCTCGTGGGCCCCTCTTGGAGCTGACCTGAGGCCCTCTTGGGCCGTGTTGGGCGCCCCCTTGGCCGTTTGGGGGCCCTGTTGGGGGCCTCTTGGGGGCCTCTGGGGCCCTCTTAGAGCGAGGTCGGAAGCTTCTTGGGCAGTCTTGGAGTGTCGGACTCTCGAACACGGGAGAACGCGAATAAAATTGAATTACCCTGCGACGCACCCAACCCTTTCTATACATGTGGTGGTTACATTCGGGACCACTCAATGCTGACGGGCATGCTGCAAAACCCGCAGTGCGGAAGAAGAGCACCCACCAGTGAACCCAGAAGAGCGCAGCAAGAAAAGCAGCGGCAACGCGTAAGACGTACCTCTGCTGGGCCTCCCAGGAGCCCACGAAAATGGCGACAGTTGCGCAGATCGCAAGACCCCCAGGGCGCCGCGAGGTCCCGAGGTGGTCCGCGTGGGACGTACCTCCGTTGGGCCTCCCAGGAGCCCACGAAAGTGGCGACAGTTGCGCAGATCGCAAGCCCCCCAGTGGGCGGCGAGGTCCCGAGGTGGTCCGCGTGGGACGTACCCTCGCTGGACCTCCCAGGAGCCCACGAAAGTGGGCGACAGTTGCGCAGATCGCAAGGCCCCCAAGGGGCGGCGAGGTCCCGAGGTGGTCTGCGTGGGACGTACCTCCGCTGGACCTCCCAGGAGCCCACGTTGCGCAGATCGCAAGCCCCCCAGGGAGCGGCGAGGTCCCAAGGTGGTCGATGTGGGACGTACCTCCGCTGGGCCTCCCAGGAACCAACGAAAATGGCGACAGTTGCGCAGATCGCAAGCCCCCCAGGGGGCGGCGAGGTCCCGAGGTGGCCCGCGTGGGACGTACCTCCGCTGGGCCTCCAATGAGCCCACGGAAGTGGCGACAATTGCGCAGATCGCAAGCCCCCCAGGGGGCGGCGAAGTCCCGAGGTGGTCCGCGTGGGACGTGCCTCCGCTGGGCCTCCCAGGAGCCCACGAAAGTGGCGACAATTGCACAGATCGCAAGCCCCCCAGGGGGCGGCGAGGTCCCGAGGTGGTCCGCGTGGAACGTACCCCCGCTGGGCCTCCCAGGAGCCCACGAAAATGGCGATAGTTGCGCAGATCGCAAGGCCCCCAGGGCGCCGCGAAATCCCGAGGTGGTCCGCGTGGGACGTACCCCCGCTGGGCCTCCCAGGAGCCCACGAAAGTGGCGACAGTTGCGCAGATCACAAGCCCCCCAGGGGGCGGCGAGGTCCCAAGGTGGTCGATGTGGGACGTACCTCCGCTGGGCCTCCCAGGAGCCCACGAAAGTGGCGACAGTTGCGCAGATCGCAAGGCCCCCAGGGGGCGGCGAGGTCCCGAGGTGGTCCGCGTGGGAAGTACCCCCGCTGGGCCTCCCAGGAGCCCACGAAAATTGCGACAGTTGCGCAGATCGCAAGCCCCCCAGGGGGCGGCGAGGTCCCGAGGTGGCCCGCGTGGGACGTACCTCCGCTGGGCCTCCCAGGGGCCCACGAAAGTGGCGACAGTTGCGCAGATCGCAAGCGCCCCAGGGGGCGGCGAGGTCCCGAGGTGGTCCGCGTGGGACGTACCTCCGCTGGGCCTCCCAGGAGCCCACGAAGTGGGCGACAGTTGCGCAGATCGCAAGCCCCCCAGGGGGCGGCGAGGTCCCGAGGTGGTCCGCGTGGGACGTACCTCCGCTGGGCCTCCAATGAGCCCACGGAAGTGACAGAACGGTCGCAGATCGCAAGCCCCCCAAGGGGCGGCGAGGTCCCGAGGTGGTCCGCGTGGGACGTGCCTCGGCTGGGCCCCCCAGGAGCCCACGAAAGCGGCAGTTGCACAGATCGCAAGCCCCCCCCCCCGGGGGGGCCGCGAGGTCCCGAGGTGGTCCGCGTGGGACGTACCTCCGCTGGGCCTCCCAGGAGCCCACGAAAGTGGCGACAGTTGCGCAGATCACAAGCCCCCCAGGGCGCGGCGAGGTCCCAAGGTGGTCCGCGTGGGACGTACCTCCGCTGGGCCTCTAAGGAGCCCACGAAAGTGGCGACAGTTGCGCAGATCGCAAGCCCCCCAGGGGGCGGCGAGATCCCGAGGTGGTCCGCGTGGGACGTACCTCCGCTGGGCCTCCCAGGAGCCAACGAAAGTGGCGACAATTGCACAGATCGCAAGCCCCCCAGGGGGCGGCGAGGTCCCGAGGTGGTCCGAATTGGATGTACCTCCGCTGTCCCTCCCAGGAGCCAACGAAAGTGGCGACAGTTGCGCAGATCACAAGCCCCCCAGGGGGCGGCGAGGTCCCAAGGTGGTCCGCGTGGAACGTACCCCCGCTGGGCCTCCCAGGAGCCCACGAAAGTGGCGACAGTTGCGCAGATCGCAAGACCCCCAGGGGGCGGCGAGGTCCCGAGGTGGTCCGCGTGGGACGTACCTCCGCTGGGCCCCCTGGGAGCCCACGAAGTGGCGACAGTTGCGCAGATCGCAAGCCCCCTAAGGGGCGGCGAGGTCCCGAGGTGGTCCGCGTGGGACGTACCTCCGCTAGGCCTCCCAGGAGCCCACGAAAAAGGCGACAGTTGCGCAGATCGCAAGCCCCCCGGGGGGCGGCGAGGTCCCGAGGTGGCCCGCGTGGGACGTACCTCCGCTGGGCCTCCCAGGAGACCACGAAAATGGCGACAGTTGCGCAGATCGCAGACGGCACGAGAGAAGAGGAGAAGGGAGCACAGGAAACTTGAGAGAAGGAGGGGAGGAGAGGAGGGGAGGACGGAGCGACCGCACTGCTCTATTCAAAACGAGTACCCAACCATATGAGGGTTGGGAAAAGCGCACCGAACATGAATAATTGTGGCCTCTTGCGGCCCTCTTGGAGGTCCTCTCGGAGCGCTCTTGGGGCCTCTTGGGCCATCATGGGGCCATCTTGGGCGGCTTGGTGCGCTCTTGGGCAGTCTTGGCGCTCTGTGGGCGTCCGCTGCGGGCGCCGAGGAGGGCCCCGGAGGCGCAGGGAACGCCCTGGAGCGTTTGGGGGCCTCTTGCAGGCCTCAGGGGGTCCTGTTGGGGCGGGGGGCTCGCAAGTCCAGTTGGATTTCCCCAGCTCGGGCTCCTCTTGAGGCCATTTGGAAGGCCGTTCGGGCCATCTCCGCTGCCTCTGGAACTGTCTCGGGACCCACCTGGGCCGTCTCGGTGCCCCCGAGGCTGTCAAGCACGGTGCGAAGACGAAAAACACGAATGCGGTAAACATGTACGCTCTACGGAAGGAACGGGGCCATGTTTGCCTCCTGGGGCCCTCTGGGGGGTCAAATTGCACGGGTTATGAGGCGTTTTGGAGGCCTCGTGTTGGCTGCTTAGGGGCCTCTTGGGGGTCTCGGGGGTCCTCTTGGGGCGTGGGGCTGGCAATTCCAGTTGGATTGCCCCATTTGGAGCTCCCCTAGGAGCCCTCTGGGAGGCCGCTGGGGCCGTCTTTGGTACTTCTGGGACCAGCCTGGAACCCCCTTGGACCGTCTTGGCGCCCTCTGGGGGGCCTCTTGGGCCGCGTAGGGGCGATCGTAGGGGCCCCTGAGGTCGTCAAGGATGGTGCGAAGACGAAAAACACGAATACATAAACATGTACGTTTTACGATGGGAATGGGGCTATGTTTGCCTCTGGGGACCCTCATGGGGAGCAAATTGCACAAGTTAAGAAGCGTCTTCGAAGCCTATCGGGCCGTTGGAGACGTCCCGTGATCCGTCGAAGCCGTCTTCAGGGTGGTGGGAGGCCGGCTGGGGCCGCTGTGACGTTCATCGGACAGCCCTCCGAGGCGATTTTGGGCTCACGGGGGTCCAAGGACACGCAACCATAAGCGAAATGCGTGCCCCCGAGGCCATAACCCCTCGTAAATCAATTACGCCAGATTCGCGCAAAAAGCGCGCTCCCGCTGCCAGATGACTTTGTAAATTAAACCAGGTGCGGCTTCGAAGCCAGAATCCGATATACATTACACGAGGTTCGCGCTCTCGAGGCCAGAATGCTGCCTGTAAACTACGGCAGGGTCGCGCTCCCGGAGCCAGATTCTTTTTTCAATTACACCAGATGCGCGCCCCCGCGGACACGATCCCTCCCAAATTACCGGTGCTTCCCGCTCCCGACGCTAAGAATCCACCTCGCACAGGCTGGCCAAAAGCGCCAACAGCAATCTGATGTAATTGGGCATGTGGTTTGGGAGTGCTTTTCGCCCCTCTCCCCCCCCCCCCTTCCTTGAAAATTCGGCGGCGGGCCCGCAGCCATCAAGGCAGGCCGCGTGATGCGGCCCGAGATGGCCGCAAGCAGCCGTCAGTCGTACCGAGAGGGCTGCTATGAAGGGAAACTGGGACACACAAATAAATACACACAAATAAAACTATTCCCCATATTTTCATATATTTTCTGGGTTTTTGTCTTCCCCACCACTTCCCATATTTTCCCATATTTTCCTGGGGAGTCGACGATTAATTGTGTCTGTGTGTTTCTTACCCTCCTGTTAATAGCCGCATAATCTAAATATGTTGTGCTGATTCCTATCCGTCCCCGCATGACTTTCCCTAATGTCTTCAAGACAGCGCCCAGGCACCCCGACACGGGTCTGATATCTCCCATTCTGATATGGGGGGGCCGGCAGAGGGCGAAGCCCTTGCAGATTATTACTGCTTGGGTCACGCTGGCAAGCATTTTTGATCCGATCCGATGCGACAACACCTTTGCCTCGCGCAGTAGCTTTGCCTGCCGAAGGGAGCAAGGGCCATGGCGCCTGCTTCGAGAAGCGTCTCTCTTCGAAGCCCACGCGGACGGGAAAGTGCAGCAGGGGTGACTGGATTACATCGCCACCCTGGCGTCCCATGAATGCGAGCCTAACAAAAAATCGCCCGTACGTGTTCGCTTTACAGCAATACCAACCAAATCTGATGAACAACTGATGAACCCCCGCTTGGCTCGTACACGGTACTGTGCGAAACACCTGCTACTTATGCCAACTCACTTTGGGCAGCCCTTCTGCTCGTTGGTGCAACACCAGCCCTTCTTGTCCTCGCTCCATCCAGCCTCCCAGTTGGAATAACCGGCGTCGCAGTCATAAGGCTTAGATGCAGCCTCGGCGCAACCCATCTGCTTGTTCGAACAACACCACTCCTTCTTGTCCGGCGACCACCCAGCCTCCCAGTTCGAATACCCAGCGTTGCAGTCGTACGGCTCGGAAGGCGGGGCCGGCGGCGTCGTCGTCTCCGGACATCCCTTCTGCTCATTGGCGCAGCACCACGACTTCTTGTCTTCGGACCATCCCGCCTGCCAATTCGAATACCCAGCTTCGCAATCATACGGCTTGGAAGGCGGGGCCGGCGGCGTCGTCGTCTCCGGGCATCCCTTCTGCTCATTGGCGCAGCACCACGACTTCTTGTCTTCGGACCATCCCGCCTGCCAATTCGAATACCCAGCTTCGCAATCGTACGGCTTGGAAGGCGCGGCAGGAGGCGGCGGCGGCGGGGGCGGCGCCACGGGAGCTGGCGGCGGCGGGGGCGGCGCCACAGGAGCTGGCGGAGGCGGGGGCGGAGGCGGTGGCGGAGGCGGTGGCGGAGCCACGGGAGCCGGCGGGGGTGGCGGTGGGGGAGGCGGCGGCGGCGTCGTAGGGCACCCTCTGCCTGCCTGCAAGCAGCAAGTGACCTTCTTGGAGATCTCCCAGGACGGCGGATCGCCCTCCGCGCAGTCGACTTTTTTCTCCGTGGTCGTCACTGGTGGTGGCGGCGGGGGCGGAGGTGGCGGGGGGGGCGGCGGAGGCGGAGGCGGCGGCGGCGGCGGAGGCGGAGCCTCCGTGGTGGTTTTCTTGGTCGTCGTCGGAGCATCAGGCGGAGGCGTCGGCGGCGCTGCCAGCAATGGCGGTGGTGGAGTAGTCATGAGAACTGTGGTGGTGGTCGTCGTGCTGGTTGAGCCCATCAGCATCCAGCCGAGCAGCGGCAGCAACAGCAGCGATAGTAGCAAAGGGATCAGACACAGGCAACAGCAGTTGAAGCCACGGCGAGGCAATGGCAGTATGCTCGAGATGACTGTCTCTGAGACTGCTTGCGGGCCGCTCGCCCCCATGCCGATGTACTTGTACGTCGTCTCCTGCACGTAATCACCACCAGGCCCAATGTAAGTATGAGTTTGTGGCGGCATGCCACCCGCGAGGCCGTAGCCAGGGGTGCCGCCGTAGCCGTAGCCCGCCGAGCCACCGCAGCAGCCCGCGTCGCCGCCATACGCACCGCCGAGAGCCGCGCCACTTCCGCCGCCGCCGCAGCAAGCCGCGTCGCCGCCGTACGCGCCGTTGTAACTCATGCCCACGCCGCCGCTACCGAAGCCGCCGCCACCGTGAATCATCCCTACGCGAACGGGCAAAGCAGCGTAAAAGAAGCAGGCCTTGCAGAGGAGTCGCACTTGAGCCAGAACGGCTGTGCAAGCGAGCGTGATCCGTAAAATTTGGCCCAAACGTCCTGCGTGTTGGGCTCTCGTTTGGAATGTGGCACTGTGGTCCCCACCTCTCTTCTCTCCTCTCCCGCCTCTCCCCTCCTCCGGCCTCCTCCTGCGCTGCTCTGCGCAACTGTCGCCACGTTCGTGGGCTCCAGGGAGGTACTTTCGTGGGCTCCTGGGAGGGCCTGGGAGGTCCAGCGGAGTGGAGGGCCACGCGTACCCAGACTGGACTTCGCGGCTCAATGGGTGGCTGCGAATTGGCTTTTGCCGCCACTTCCGTGGGACCCTGGGGTATTGCCCTGCGTTGCAATCGCCAATACGATGCTGCACCAACTCTTGTTGTCACTTGATGCAGGTGGGTTGAGTACGTCGAAGAGCCACTTGTTTTGTCGATTGTTGCTTTTGTCTGCGACTGGTGCGCCAATGCGCGAGCGCGCGTGCGGAGAGCGGATGGGGCGAGCGAGGGGGACCGAGGCGCTGAACATTCGGAGCGAGAGCCTGACTCAACACAGGAGGGCTGGGAGGGCCACGAGGACGGGCAGGAGGAGAGGAGGGGGAAGTATGAGTAAAGGGGCCCAATGACACACAAATAAATACACACAAATAAAATAATCCCCCATATTTTCCCATATTTGTTCGGTTTTTGTCTTCCCGCCCACTTCCCATATTTTCCCATATTTTCTGGGAAATCGAGGATTAATTGTGTCTGTGTGTTTCTTTTCCTCCTGAATGAGGAAGTGCACAATCAAGTCGCATAAGAAGGCTACGCGATAAGGATGCAAGGGCTTTGGAGAGTCATGTTGACGTCTTTCGAACGGGGCTGGCCAGCGATGGTCGCCAAGGATGAGCCGGCAAGGATGCAAAGGTGGCCTTGAAAGAGTGGTTCATCCTTACATTATGCGACTTGACTGTAGACCGCACGACTGGAAGGTCAATGGGGCAGGAACGCTTGAGCAAACAGGTGATCCTTGCCTCGGTGGTTGGCTTCGGCCTAGCGGCCTCGGCGGCGACGACGACGACGAACCAGAAAGACTTTTGAATCGTGTGCTTCCCAAGTGGTGCACTGATCCGCCCCAGGGCGTTTCTTATTCGCTTGGCCGCATCAGTCTGGTGTGACCTCGCGGCGCTGCGGATTCAACGAGGACGGGGCTCCGCACAGGAGGGCTGGCATGAAGCGTTGCAACATCGCAACTGTCGGCGGCGAGCCCGGGGGGGTGGGGAAAGAGAAGAGGCGGGCCTTCTCGGAACCCTGAAGACACAACAAGCTTCTCGGGACGCGCGAGGGCTTCTGAAAAGCCCCGCCGGCTTCTCGCTTCCCCCCCTCGCCCGCCGCCGAAACCGTGTGTAAAGCTTGACGCCATCCCCGTGCTGGATTCCTCGAGCCCGAGCCATCCGCGCGGGCCCAGTGCCCCCCGCGGGCGTCAAAACGCCCCTGCGAGCCATCCCCTCCCCGGCCCCCACCCCTGCGAGCCGTCCCTTCCCCAGAGAGGGCAGACGAACTCGGAAGACAGGGCACACGAGTACCATGCGTCCTCCCTGGGAGCGCGCGTCCGACCTCAACACAGCACCATCTCGCAGTATATGATTTCCCGAGCGGTGTGGCCAGACGGCGCCCGCCACGGAGCTGATACCATGAGATTTCTCAGCGCGCGCGTCGCCCCCACCATCATGCACACATAGTATTAGTTTGTACACCCTGCGAAATGCTTAAGAAATCATGGGTTAAGAAATTCATAGTCTCAGGATTTGAATAAAAAACCCAAAAATCCTATTCAAAGTTTAGGCTTTACATCGAAACAGTAAGAAAAGGCGAGACTCTGGCCGAAACCTTACGTTTTCTTAAGCATCGCCCAAGGTGTAGGGGCGACGCCGACTCCAGGCTGCCTTGTATCAGAGCCTCCGCTGCGCTCATAGGCCTTGGCTGCGTCAGTGCCCGCTGCTGGCAATCCTGTCAAGCCTCCCCGCCCTCCTCCTCCACTCCTCCTTCCGCGCGTATCGGTGGCGTGAGGAGTGGGGAGGAAGAGAGAAAGGGGGGGAAAGGCAGGAGGGAAGAAGGGGGACAGGGGAGGAGGAACAAAACACTACATGAACATAATCTTGTGGAAGTTGGAGCGCGCCAGGGAGGAGGGGTGCAACGCGGATCCAAGAAATCCGCACGGACCTCCGAACATCTAAGTTTATGCAATTTTGTGCAAACCGTCGTCATCGCCAAACGCTCTCCCAGCATTCGCGCGTCCTCGGCATGGCGTCGACACGGATGGGCCTGTGGGCCTCCTTCTTCTCGAGCAGATCCTCCTCCCAGTCCTCGTCCTCGGGCCCCGCGTGGCTCGGGGAAGGAAGAGGAAGGGGGATGGAGAGGGAGGCGGAGGAGGAGGAGGAGGAGCAGGAGGAGGAGGAGGAGGAGGAGGAGCAGGAGGAGGAGGAGGAGGAGGAGGAGCAGGGAGAGGAGGAAGAGGGGGAGGACAAGGAGGAGGAGGAGGAGCAGGAGGAGGGGGAGGAGAGGGAGGATGGGGAGGGGGAGGAAGGGGGGAGAAGAGAGGAGAGGAGAACGCACCACTTCGGACGATGGGCCCGTCCTGGCCCGCAAAGTGCCAGCGCCTGCTAGGCCGGCCTCTCACTGGCGGGAGGCGCCGCTCGAATAACAGGGGTGGGAAGCCCTCCCCCGTGGCGCAGCCAGAGTGCACCCCGACTGGAAAAGCAGGCGGCTTGCGGCGACCAAGGCGTGGCCAACTCCGCCTGCATCACCGGACCCTGAAAAGAGACTCCGGCGTTTAGCACGCTGTGGCGCGCGAGCCTCGGAGCCCGTAGAACCCGCGCTGAGGCATCCCGCTCGGCGGCCCAGCGCCTGGCCCTGCGGAGAAGGTCGCCCCGTGTTCTCGCAAGGGCGGGGTGGAGGTGCGAGGGCCTCCCCACGTGCACCCAAAGGGAGGGCGACAAGGCGAGAGAAGCAACGGCCGTGCAAGGCACGGCCGCCCCCTGCCCAACCCGGCCCCACGCCGGCGGCGCCAGGAGGCAGCGCCAGCGAGGGGGCCAGGCAGGAACAGGGGAGGCGCAGGGGCCCTGTCACCCCTCGGCGAACGAGGGGAGGCCTCAGGCCACAGGATGCCGGGCCCCTTGTCGCAGCCACGGGCCCTCTCGCGACGAAGCTTGCCATAGACCGTGAAGGAGGTCCCACGAGGGCCACGAGCAGGGCTACGAGGACCACCAGGTGAGCTACCGCAGCCACCAGTTGAGCTTCGAGGGCCACGTGCGGAGCTTCGAGACTCATCGGCAAAGCGCGAGGTTCACCTGGAAAGCCACGAGGGCCAGAACCTGGGCTTCGAGGGCAACGAGCAGGGCTACTACAGCCACCGGCAGAGCTACCAAAGCCACCGGCAGACCTTCGAGAGCCAAAGGCTGAGCTACGAGGAACACAGGCACAGCTACCAGAGCCACCACCAGAGCTACGAGGACTGCAAGCCGAGCCACGAGAGCCACAAGCAGGGCTACGAGGACCATCAGCTGAGCTACGAGGGCCATCAGCCGAGCTACGAGGGCCATCAGCTGAGCTACCCGAGGCACCGGCTGTGCTGCAAGGGCAACAAGCAGAGCTACTACAGCCACTGGCAGAGCTACCGGGGCCCTAGGACGACGAGCTCAGCTTCGACGACCACAGGGCCCCCGGCGGACCTTCGAGGACCACAGGCTCAGCTACGAGGACCACAGGCAGAGCTATGAGAGCCACCAGAAGAGCTACGAGGACCACGAACTGAGCCACGAAGACCACGGCTACCAGCACAGTGTTTATCACGATCCGCAATCGACTACGAAAGATGCCCGCGGAAACGACGGGCCCTGATCTACAACAAGGAGCACCCCTGATAAGCATACATATTATGTTCGACCCAAGAACTACTACGTCTGCGTTATATCGCCAACAGCGTTACCGACAAGGCACGCCATGTACACCGACAAAAGCAAGGTAGCTACTACGCCATCCGAAGCTACAACTTCCCTTGAGTCGCCCCGCCGCTCAACCCATAACTTCCCTCCTCACTCTTCGATGAAAGTATATGGTACTGGTGTCCTCCCTCCCTCTCGGAGGACCCGAAACGGCCCACGGCTCGGAGGTTGCTAAAGGTGCCCCTGGCAAAAAGCGCCCCCAGCTTTTCGCCGCATTTTGGAGCCCCTGGGGGCCCTCGGGGCCTCGCGAGGGGTGCTCCGGAGACCATGAGGGCCTTCGGGCACCTTGGGCCAGGGGCACCTCTAGCAGCACCCGAAGCGGCGGCGCCCGTGGGCCCCGGCCACCGCGTAGCGGGCGCGCCCCGCGGCGTGCGGCGAGCGCGGCGGCGGACGGAGTCTCCGCATGGCGCTGCGAGATGAGAGGAGGATTTTTTCCCGCGGCAACAGAGCCTGCGAGTGCCTCGCGACGACCTGCGCTCCAGGGCAACCTGGCCTGAAACATCAGTCCGAAGATGCGGAGGACGAGAGAGCTCGGCAGAGCGCTTCTGAGCGGCGCCGCTGACGCCGGAGCGAAAGCTGCACCGCACACAAAGTATGAGCCTCGCTCAGACCCTGCACCATCCGGGCCTCCTTGGCTGCAGCGCACTTTCGTGTGAGGACTCGCGCCGTGCAAACACGAAAGCCCACACGAGCCGGAGCCGAACGTGGCCGATAAGGAGCAGAGGGCCGAAGTGCTATCTACCCTCAGAGGAGCACCCCTGCGGGCGCAACCCTTCAGTGAGCGGACCCAGGCGAGGAATCGAACGGGGCAGGACTGCCCGGTAGACGCCGCTGACTCCAGGACCGTCGAGCAGAAACCGGGTGGGGAGGCCTCCCCCGAGCGAGCGGGGAGGGAGTGGAAATGACACACCTAGAGGCCTCCCAGATGGGATCGGAATAGATGGGGTCGGAGGATCGCGCCGCATCGCCGATGTATCGGCGATGTATCGGCGATGCATCCGCGATGCACCAGCGATGCAACGTCGACATCGGCGGTGCATCGGCGACGTCGACGAGGAGCAAGTCGGGCTCCGCATCGAGACGCATCGCCGATGCATCGGCGATGCTGCGCGATCCTCCGACCCCATCTGCTCCGACCCCACCTGGGAGGCCTAGAACACCTGCGCCGGAAGCCCTGCTCGTGCTTCCGGGGCACGGGGCGCCTGCGCTTCCGCGGCACGGCCAGGCCCCGGAGCCTGTGGAGTTCGGCCCTCCCGCGCTGCGGCGGACGCCTCGCGCCAGCGCCGGCGGCGCGCCCCCCCGCGGGGGACAGGCCGAGGGGGCGGGCTGTCTCACAAGAATGCCTCCGGCCTTCTCCGAGCCGTTTCCGAGCCGTTTCCGAGCCGTTTCCGAGCCGTCTCCGAACGGGGGGGGGCCTTCTCAGAAGGCCGGAGGGCTTCTGAGGAGCCCCGCCGCCTGCCGAGGAGGCCTGCCCCCTCGCGCTCCCCCCCATCGGCGCGCCGCGCACCCCAAGGGCCACTCGGACGAAGCGTCGCTCTAGTGCTCTAGTGCGCAGCCAACGGGGGCATCTGGGGAAGCCCGCGGCCGCGGACCCCCCAGGGCGTGGCCAGCCCGTGCTCTGCTCGGAGCTCGTGCGCGGTAGCTCATCTCCTCATCATCGCTGTGACGTGGGAACATCAATAACACGATGCCAAGGGGGAGCGTGCAGTTGAGGCCTGAGCAAAGCGGCGTCTCCGGAGATGCACGAAAGAATAGCACGCTGACGGGCTCCCAGCGGCGGCGTGTCATTGGTGCTCTCCGTCCCCCCCACGCTTCCTTGTTCCTGGAGGGCCCTGCTCTCAGAAAAACGAGACCGTCGTACCCTTCCCCTGGAAGCCGAGGCTGACTGGAGAGGACACGCGAGAGGACACCAGACCCCTCCGAGGGCCCCCTCGCCACAGGCGATGCAGAAGGCATGGGCCGCGAACCACGGGACTGCAGGGGGGTACCCTTGATATGGCAGGGTCGCCATACTAGTCAACCCCGACTGCAGGCTCCCCCCCCCCCCCCGCCTCCAAACACACACGACCCGTCCAGGCAGGGCGCGCGCGCCCCCCGCGGCCTCCTCCAGGCTTTGGAACCGAGCAGGCTCTGCGACGGCTGTGCGGAGAGGAGGGAGAGAGGAGCAGGCGGGGGGGGGCACGACGCAGGGGGGGGGAGTTGAAGGAGGAGGCAATCGGCGGAGGAAGGAGGAAACGGAGGAGGGTAGGAGGAGGGGGGGGTCAGCGTCGGAATCGGAGTGGTGGGAGGAGGGAGGCGGGGGAGGGGAAGGAGGAGCAGGGTGGGAGGAGGGAGGAGGGAGGGCAGGAGGACTGGATGGAGGACTGGATTGATCCTCCAAAAGGAGGGAGGTTGTCTATGGCCTCATGCGTGGCCACCTTTCCATGGGGGGGTGGGGGGGTGGGGGCATTGGCACCTTTCCGTAAAAGTCAAGAAGGAACCCCTGAGAAGGGGCCAGTGAGCTGGAGTTTGCCCAGATTGAGGCCGATAGTAAGAAAGACTCAATGGGATCAAGCGGAACTGAGAGGGACTCGGTCATATTAGGCTGGCGCTCCCCCAGGGGAGTCAGATTCATCTCGTGAGAAGGCTTGGCTACGTCTGATACGTATCAGTTTGCAGCTGAAATCTGCCTGCGACGGCGCCAAGATGTTTTTTTTCTAGGAACTTCGCTGTAAAGAACCACCATCCGCGCCCAGCCGTCCTCGAGGTCGGCGGAGGGGCTGGCCCACAGCTGCACCGTGGGGTCGCAGCCGCCGCAGGGGGTCTCGCCCTGGCGTGGGGGCGGGCCTCCTCCGCGTTCCCGATTCCTCCTGCCGTCCCTCCTCCGCCACGCTGTCTCACCTCCGCCGCCGAGCAACCGGACCGTGACACGGATGGAGGGGAGGGGGGCGTTTTTCTAATTGGGCTCTCGCCTGCGACCTCTTCTACATGTGGTGCAAGGGCAAGATAAGGTGCAAGAGCTACACAGGTTGATGGCGCTTTCTTCCCGAAACAGGCGTCGAATTTCAAACTCGTGCAACGGTCGCATGTGTGGAGGGCAGGTCATTTTCAAAACGGGACTGTCGCTGGGCAATTTACTAGTCACTGATCGAAAGACGGAGACCGGTTTCTTTCAAAACCGTTTGTTCCGCCCGAGATGTGGTCCCGTCCCTCTTTGCAGGCAGCGCATCCAATGCTCGGTAAGGTGGCCCACTTGTGGGATCCAGAACCCGGATAGCAGAGCGCCAGAAAGACGTGGAACAGCCTGGCGAAGAACTGGATGCCGGCGGTAAACCGTCAAACTGGCTACCGCCGAGGACCTCGTAGAGCTCCCAGTCACTGGCTCAACTCGACATATTCAAGAGAGTAATAATAACGATTAGTGTTTGTTCTCATCGTCTGCCGTCTCGCAAACTGAATGCAAGCTTCTTGGAAATCCGAATCATGCTTCGAAGGCCGCCGAATTGCGCACTGTAGACGAGAGATCGATAACTGCTCAAAATCTCGAGATCAAATCCGTAACCCAACAGTACGTCGAAAATGGCGTCAATGCGGCGTTGGTTCCTCCGAGTGTTTTCGATAACTGTAGATACGGACATGAAACTGAGACAAGCGAGCGCCTCATATTTCACTACATAGGGGAAACTTGTGCAGTCCAAAGCGAGTGAAACGCTTATGGGAGACGCTGGCAAGGGCGCTGGAAAGCATGCCTGGGGAGCTTGCGAGCTTCGGAAACGTGAGTGGAAGACGCTTGCCAGGACGTTGGGGACCATGCTTGGGGGAACTTGCAAGCTTCGATTTGTCGGGTCCAACACACTGACAGCAGGGCGCCCGAAGGGCGTGAGGGCCTGTCGAAGAACTCTGGAGCGTAAAACGCTTCTGGAAGACGCTTGCAGGCTTTGAAAAACAGATTCGAAGGAGCTTCCGAGGAGCTGCGAAGGACGCGCATGTGGAAGAATAGCAGCTTCGAAGGAGCTTCGATGCGGCAAGGCTTCAGGCACGCGCATGTGGAACGAATGCACTTCTCGGGACACGCTGCCGGCTCAAGCGAGCCGCTGCGGGGATGCCTGACCAGGAGCATTGGAGAGAAGCTGGCCTACCCTGCGCTGCCGGCTTCTTATCTGGAACCCTCTTAGCTCTCCAAGGAGCTATCCGTAAATTTACGCACCCCGACCCCGTGGACCCCTCCTCCACCCTCCATCCTCCACCCTCTATGCCGGGGTGCCCCGGTGCCCAGGTGTATGCCCGGGTGCCCGGGTGCACGGGTGCCCGGGAGCCCGGGTGCCCTGGTGCCCAGGTGGCCAGGAGCCTGGGTGCCCAGTAGCCTTATAGCCCTATAGCCTGATAGCATTATAGCCCTATAGCCCTCTAGCCTTATAGCTTTATAGCCCTATAGCCCTTATAGCCCTAATAGCCATATAGCCCAATCGCCCTATAGCGTTATAGCCCTATAGCCTTTTAGCCTTATAGCCTTAGCTATACGACCACCCTTCGAGTGATAAGGAGGTTGTGTGGATGAGGGGGGGGAGTGGGGAGGGAACCAGCATGTGACTAAATCGATCTCACTATCGATCTCACTCAACGGGACACCAAGGGACACCACGGGACACGTGTCGATCTCACTGACGATCTCATTATCGATCTCACAATCGATCTCACGCAACGGGACACCACGGGACACCACGGGACATGACGGGCCACCACGAGACACCGCGGGACACCTCTCGATCTCACTATCGGTCTCACTAACGGTCTCACTATCGATCTCACTCAATGGGACACCATAGAACACCATAGGACACCACGGGACACCACGGGATACCTCGGGACACCACATCGATCTCACTATCGATCTCACTATCGATCTCACTATCGATCTTACTCAACGAGACACCACGGGACACCACGGAACACCACGGGACACCTGTCGATCTCACTATCGATCTCACTATGGATCTCACTTTTTGGGACACCACGGAACACCACGGGACACCTCGGGGCACCACATCGATCTCACTATCGATCTCACTATCGATCTCACTCCGCGGGACACCACGGGACATCTCACTTTTTGGGACACCAGGGGACACCTCAGGGCACCACATCGATCTCACTATCGATCGCACTCAACGGGACACCACTGCACACCATGACACCACGTGACACCGCGGGACACCGCGAGCCACCGCCGGACGCGCGGGCGGGGGAGAATCATTTGTCATGACTTCGCCCTAGCAACGGCGGACACCACGGGACACTACGAGACACCACGGCACACTGCGGGACACCGCTAGGGCCACCGCCGGACGGGCGGGAGGGGGAGAATCATTTGTCTTGACTTCGCCCTAGCAACTTGCTCTCGCGCGCCCACGCAGCTTCGCCTCGCCGGCACGCACGACGCGAACGAAACGAAACGATTTCCCGGTTGGGGGTCTCCGTTCCACTGCGATCTCACCCCCCAACCTCCGATAGTCCTACAGCCCTATAGCCCTATAGTCCTATGCCCCTATAGCGCTATAGCCCTATCGCCCTATGGCCCTGGCCCTATAACCCTATGGCCCTATCGCCCTATAGCCTTGTAGCCCTATAGCCGTACATATACCACCCTTCGGGTGATAAGGAGGTTGTGGGGGGGGATAGGGGGGGAACCAGCATCTGACTCAATCGATCTCACTATCGATCTCACCCAACGGGACACCACGGGACACCACAGGACTCTTGTCGATCTCACTATCGATCTTACTATCGATCTCAGTCAACGGGACACCACGGACCACCACTGGACACCACTGGACACCACGGGACACCGCGGGACACCTCTCGATCTCACTATCGGTCTCACTATCGAGCTCACTATCGATCTCACTGAACGGGACACCACGGGGCACCACGGGACACCTCGGGACACCACATTGATCTCACTATCGATCTCACTATGGATCTCACTATCGATCTCACTCAACGGGACACCACGGGACACCTCGGGGCACCACATCGATCTCACTATCGATCTCACTGTCGATCTCACGATCGATCTCACTCAACGGGACACCACGAGACACCACGAGACACCACGGGACACCAGCGGGACACCGGCGGGACACCGCGGGCCACCGGCCGCCGGAGGAGCAACATTTGGTCCGGCCGCGGCCCCGCCACAGGAGGGTTCCCTCTCGCCCGCCCACGCAGCTTCGCCTCGCCCGCACCGCACGCACGGCACGCACGACACGAACCCGAACCCGAAATCGACTTCCTGGTAGGTGGGGTCTCCATTTCACGTCGGACTCAGCCCCCAACCTCCGATAGCCCCATAGCCCTACAGCCCTGAAACAAATATGTTTGGGATTGTTCTCCGGTATCATATAGATTTCTCTCCCTCTCTCCCTCTCTCTTTCTCTCAACCAATGAATCAATCAATCAAAAGAGAATGGGAACAGGAAAACGAAACGGGTAGAGGTGGCCAAGATTCCCAAAATTCCAGTCCCTGGGCCGACCTGCCCTCTCCTCCCCCCCCCCGCCAGCATCCTTTCAGAGAGACCAGTTCCACGACCTGCTCAGCTCGGGGCAGCCGACCCCCCCCCGACCTCCGCCTACTCTGTGGAGAGAGCAGCGATGGCACGAGCACAAACTATCGGAGGTCAGCGCGGATTTCGTGGCCCCCGTGCTGTCGGGCATGAGGAGGGAAGGGGGACGAAGAGGCGGCCCGATTCCTCGACGCACGCGATGACCCCTCGGGCCAGGCCGTCCGGTCCACTAGCTCGCACGCGTGCCGTCCGCATCACGAGCCAGGAGGATAAGGATCGTCGAGCTGATCCGCAGCCCCGATCCATGGGGGCGAAGGCAGATGCTGCACCGTGGAGCGCTACACACTTCGGGCCGAAGCAGTGACCCCAGGACGCGGAGGAGGCCCTGGATCGACCCTGCATGCCGTCGCTTTGGCTGTGGCGGCATGGTGCACCGCCGCCTCCTCTCGTTGCACCTGTTGCCGCTGCACCTCCCACCGCCCCCCCGTTTCCATCCAATGCCAACTTGACGCATGCCCGTCGACGCGGCAGTCGCCTGGTCGGAGAAAGCGATGGAGGGTGGGTCTGTGCTGACGTCGTAGCCGACGACGTACTGGTAGAACAGGGGCGTGCCGATGATCCTGCCCAGCAGAGGAAAACGATACATACGAATCAGAACAAGAGTGCCCAGCTGCGGCGACATGGGGGCCCCGATCAGACGTCGGATCTAAGCGACTGGGAGGACGACAAATCGACTCCAGGATGCTGAACACTCCAGTCGCTCACCACCAATACCTCCCTCTTCCTCTATTCGCTGCAACTTGATCTCCCGCCAGTTCTCTGTCTGCCGTTGGGGGTGGCATTGCCCGTTGATCGCTGTCTCGCGGCCTCTCTCTCTTTCACTGGCTATCTCTGTCCCTTCCTCTCTCTCTCGTGATGTCTCTCATCTTTGTTGGTTCTCTCTCTCTCTCTCTCTATTTCTCCACCTCTCAACATCAGTCCTCGCCCACTCGCTCCTGTCCTCTGCTCCCCTCGCATCCTCCCCCCCCCCCCGCGTGCGTGGAAGCATCCAAACTTAGGCCACGCGAGAAGCCGTTTCCCCCATGCAACGTTCCGAATGCACCTTTCAAGCCGTGGCGTCCGAGGGGCAAGAGACGGGCGGCGTCTCTAAGCGCCTAGGGAGTTCCCCTTGAAATCCCCAGGGCCCCCTGGAGGCATCTGGAGACACAAGAGCGAGCGAAACTCCTGCAGGTCAACACGCGCGGGCAGTCCGACACCCAGGCGAACGCAGGCGCGCTACGCGAACGCGAATCAGGCTCCGTGCGAGAGAAGGCGAAGTGGAAGAGGGCGGCGTTTCTATTCCATAGTGCATCGTATACATGTGCGTAAAAAAGTAAAGTCAGACGCGTGTTTGATCAGATCATCGGACCTCGCGAACACCCGCTGACTTTGGCGAGAGGCCCGATTCAAACGGCTCGGGACTTCCCTTCTTCGGAGGGGCGTCGGCATTCAGTCCTCAACTCGCGAGGGACATCAGCCCACTGGGAGTCACAAGCCTGACCAACGAGGACGCCGCCTCCTCCGATCAAAGGGAGAGGGCGCCAGCCGAGAGGAGCAGTAGAGGGAGCTGGGAAGGTGGGTGGAGCTAGGGGAAAAGAGCGAAGAGGGGGGCATGGAGGCGGGAGGGAAGGAGAGAGGGAAGACGCAATCCCACCAGCCCTCTGGGCGTAGGTGGTTTAGGGCGGCCCCCGTTCTTTCCCTTCGGGGAGGGGTTTATCACTGTTCCCTATAAATATACACCCCCTCCCCCAGGCGACTGGGAGCCAACCCGAGCCAATGAGGGCCCCCACCCCCACCATCCCTTGTAAAAAAAACCATGCAAAACACACTCTGCCTCCAAATTCGGAGCATGCGCAGCGAACCCGATGCGGCCTCCCCCGACCATACCTGTCAAACACCAATGCGAAATACACTTGTCGGCGGCGGCGGCTGCGGCGGGGGCAGCGGCTGCGGCGGCGGCAGTGGCGGCGGTGGCGACGGGGGCGGCGGCGGCGGCGGCGGCGGCGGCGGCGGCGGCGGCGGTGGCGGCGGCGGGCGGCGCGGTGGCGGCGGCGGACGGCGGCGGCGGCGGCGGCGGCGCGGCGGCGGCGGCGGCAGGCGGCGGCGGCGGCAGAGGCGGCGGCGGATTCGCCCCCAGTAGCTGCACATCCAAAGACGACTGCTAACTTTGCTGCGGCTCGGGCCAGGCTCGGGTGCTACGTATGTTTGGGGAGGGCGGGTGGGAGTGAGCGAGACGGCTTGCGGGCGGGGAGGGATTCTTGACCCCTCCCCCTACCCCCTCCCCTGGGCTTGGACGGGGGGGGCGCGAGGTGTCGGAGCGTCCAAGACGGCCTTGACGAGGAAGCTACAATCAGTTGTTTTACTAGGGCTTGGGCCCTATTTTGGCCTCTTGGGGGGGCGACGCTAATTGAGGATCCCCCCTTCTTTGATCGATCTCCTCCGAGATGTGCCCTAAGAGGGCCCCAAGAGGTGGCCAGGAGGCCCCAAGAGGCTCCCAAGAGGCTTCAGATGACTCCAAGAGCGCCTGGGAGAACATTAATGTTTTTGGCTTTCTCGCCGAGGCCTCAAGATGGCTCCAAGATGGCCAAAGAGGGCTCCAAGAGTGCTCCCAAGGCTCCCAAGAGCGCTTCAAGAGGGCCCCAAAAGGCGCCCAGGAGGCCCCAGGAGGTCCCAACAGGCGCCCAAGAGGCCTCCAAGAGGCTGCCAAGAGACCCCCAAGAGGCCCCAAGAAGCTCTCCGAGACACCCAGGACGCTCTAAGAGGCGTCCGGGACCGCCAAGAAGCCCCCAAGACGCTCCAAGAGGCCTCCACTGGGGGGGCCCTTCCTTTGTGTGCCGCCCACTTCCCTGATCGAGGCAATTCCTCTGGGCATCGTTTCTGGATGGGCTGGTGGGGTGACGCGAAGCGTCTAGCATTAAGGAAAGAGGTAGGGAGACAAGTCCGATGCGATAACCTGGAGATGCTGCACAGCGGCATGGGACAACTGTGCTCGTCTGCCGCGCAATCACGACCTGCGCCGCTGCAACTGCCGCCACATTCGCCACCACTGCGGCGTCCAGCGCTCCAAGCCCGACCCGACCCGCGGCCCTTCTACGCCGACGCCCACAGCCACGACAGCGAGCACCGAGGCTGCCACCACGACCACGGCCCCGTCGATCACGACGGCCACGGTGACCGCGACGTCCACGGCACGACGTGACTTCCGACCCTCGTCCTCCTCGCACCGTCCTCCTGTGCCCGCCCGACCCTGCTGACTTCCCCTCCCTCCCTGCTCCTCCGCAGGGGGAGGCCTTCGCAGAGGACGGCGGACTCGCCTGTGCCTCATTCTCTGCTTGCGCAGCTGTTCTAACGAAGTCCCTCGTGAACTGCGTGGTTGGGGCAAGTCGCAACCGACAGGATGGACCGGCATGCCCTCGCAGACGCATGCGTGGGCGCGTGCGGGGGCTGACCAGGGCTCGCTCAGCAGAAAGCTGATAAGGGGGGGCTCAGCACGCGAACAGCGGAGAAGGGGGGAGGAAGGAAGGAGACAGGAGAGGTGCGGGAGGTGGGAGATCCCGATGGTTTCGAAACACGATCTGGTATTTCTTCGAAGCCGTCGTCGCCACGGCCGGATCGGAGTCGCCTCGAAATCTTCTCGGAACGCGCTCCAGGATACGGCCCTGGTGTCAGGATGAGGCAGGAGGGAGCGGGGTGAGGCAGGAAGGAGGGAAGGAGTCAGGACGGGGGAGGTGGGAGGAGCGAGGAGGGAGGTGGAAAGAGCGAGGTGAGAGGGAAGAGGGATCAAGGGTGGATACGCTGTTGTGGCAGTTTTGGCAGCCACGTGTGACCCCCAACCCTGCAGTCAGCTTGTGAAAAAGCGGCTGTGGCCCCCAGCATTGAGAGGGTGTCTGCGGCCAAGTGAACCCCAGCGGGGGTGTCCGATGCCCAAGCGTCGCTTGTACCCGCAGGGATGGGGTTCGCTAGTGGTCGCAGATGACTTCCAGCCTTGGAGCCCACCCTCGAGATCCTGCTCGGCACGCGCTCCAGGAAAGGCTCTGGTGTCAGGAGGATGCAGGAAGGGGTGGAGGGAGGAGTGCGGCGGGAGATTGGCGAAGCGAAGTTGGAGGGAGGAGGGATCGAGGGTGGTTCAGTCCCAGCCTCGGATCCCGAACCCTCAAAACAGAACTGCCTATGTTGGACATACATTGGTAATTCTCTATCGCTATATTACTCAGTGGGAGCCACGTCTGCATCGCAGAGAGGGGGGGAGCTTGGAAAGGGGAAGCCACTCCTCGACAAAATCCTTGCCCCGATCTGTGGCCTCCAAAACCGACCCAAAGCTTTGGTTCGGGGTTGGACATCATGCACCGTCTCGAGAATGACCCGGGTATCCGGCAGCCGTTCGGGACGATCCGGGCACACCCGGGACGCAGCTGACGGAGGCCACCCGAAGATGGGAAAACCGCCGAGAACCGAACGACACGTCCGAAAACCTTGAACCGCTCACAGCACTCCCCCAACTGACGGAGCTCACCCCTCACAGCCAGTTCCCTGTCGGTCGGCTAGTGCCGCCATCACAAGGAACCAGAGGGGCCATCATAGGGACCTCAAACCCAATACGAGGCCACCAGAAAAGGCTCGTTTTGGAAGAAGGTTCAACACAGGCCTTCACGTTCATTGCCTTACCAGTGAGGACCGCAATGAGGCCTCACACCCTCCGCAGCTTCCATCATAGGGGCTACGGGGACAAATCACCAGGAAGCTCACACCGACGACTTCAGCGACGGCGGCGATGACCACGACTGGGACTACCAGCGCGAGTGGACGCAGCAACACGAGTGCGGGGTGTTGCGTCCGAGGGCTTCGTGTTGCCTCTTACTTAAAAGGGCTTCCCGGGGGATAGGAGCGAGGTGTTCGACGGGGGCGTGATGTCGCGAGGTGGCGCCAAGTGCGGCGTGGCTCCCCGCCTGTGAACCGCCCGCTCCATTTCTCGTGCCTGTGCCTGGACGGTGGTTAGCTCCCGCTCCCTACCCTACTCATTTCTATTTTTCATTGGCGAGGCACCACAGCTACGAGGCCGCTCCCATGGTTGTATTTCTCTCAAGGCCCTTTCCAAGTATACTTCTCCCCCCCACCGGTGAGGACCATCAGAGGCCTTCCCAATGACGACCGCCAGGAGGCCTCACACCCTCCGCAGCTTCCATCGTAGGGGCTGCGGGGGCAAACCAACGGTCCTAGCACCGACACCGGACGTCGAGGACCACGAATTCGGCGACGATGACGACCACGACTGGGACTACCAGTACGAGTGGGCCTCGCTACACGTGTGCGGGGGTGTACGTACGTGAAGCTTGTGCTGCCTCTCCGAGGTCTGCCCTCGGGTGATAGGAGCGAGGTGTTCGACGGGGCGCGTCGCCGCGACGTGGCGGCGGGTGCGGCGCTACCCCCCCCGCCTGCGGACCGCCCGTTTTTTTTTGATAGTGGGTTGTCTCGTGCTTGAGCTTGGACAGTGGTTATTAATTCCCGTCGCTGTCCTTCTTATCATTGACCTCATCCCCATGCGTAAAATGCTCTTCCCGCCCCGGAAAATTGGTGGCGTTAGAAGCTAGAAGCAATATTCCTAGCACCGGCTACGGACGTCGAGGACCCCGACTTCGGCGACGGCGATGGCCACGACTGGGACTACCAGTACGAATGGGCGTAGCTGCCCAAATGCGGGGATGTACGCAATTACGTGGGACTTGTGCTACCTCTCAAAATGCTGCCCCAGGGTGATGGGAGCGAAGTGTTCGACGGGGGCGTGACGCCGCGACATGGCGGCGGATGCGACGTGACTCCCCGCCTGTGCACCGTCCGCTTCTTTTGATAGTGGGTTCTCTCGTGATTGGTTTTGGACGGTGGTTACTAATTCCACTCACCGCCCTTCTCAGGTGTTCTTTCCCCCCCCAGGTGAGGACCATCATAGGCCTCACCAAGGAGGACCGCCAGGAGGCCTCATTCCCTCCGCAGCTGGCAACGTGCGTGCAGTGCCGGGGTGGCGGCCCGTCTTCTCATCCCAACATAACAAGGGAATGCAAAGTCCCTGAGGACGGGACGGGGTGAGCACGAGTGGGCATCATAGCCGGCTCAAAATCAAAAAAAGGCATCACAGCCGAATCGATCATCCTATCATTGACTTCAAAACATGCGTAGCATGCTCTCCCCACAGTCATGATGTGCTCTTAACGTCGACCCCAAAAAATTTTGACCCATTCCCCAGGACTCACTGTTCATCCTGAGCCGTTCCTTGACGGTCCCGAAGCTCGGTGAGGGCCCCCGGAAACCGAACATACGGAAAAGCCTTCCGTCGTGATGTTTCCATGATCCGAGGGGGGTCGGGGACGTTGCCCCAACGGCCCCTGCCCCGCCAGACGGGGCCGTTGGCTCTCGTCTGGTACTGCATCTCCCCGAAGGCGGGGGCGCACACCTCGCGGCGGCGAATGCCGCGCAGGGAGGCTCCGCGCCGGGGAGCCCCTCGGGGGCGTCGTCGTCGTCGTCGGCAAGCCCCATCGGGGAAGAGACCGAGCGAACATACAGCGAGACCGAACGCGAGCTGCATATGCGGTCCGGATTCTGGGATACGCTCCGATACCGAACGAGGTTCGCCATCCCCAAAATGTTTTGGGGGGTCCCAGGGACCCCCTCCAGATCTAGCCGCTACCGCCCCGAGGACCCTCCCCTCGGAACCCGCGGTCTGCGAGACCGAACGCGATCCCGCGGATACGCGGTCGCACGGGTACGCTCCGCGCGGGGCATCCGCGAGACAACGCTCCGTGTCAGCGGGGTCGCGGCCTGGCGGCCCGGCCCACGGGGCCGAGGACCCCGAGGCGATGCCCTGCCGACGCCCCGAGGGCGCTCTACACGGCCCTGGAGGCCCCGAGTCGCCGAAAGATCGCTCCAAGACCTTCAAGATGGTCCCCAGATGGCTCCACAGGTCGCGAACAAAAAAAACCCAGAGGCTCTCCAAGAGGGCCCCAACAAGCAAGCATCGTCCCAGTCCCCTCGGAAAACGTACGTGTTCCGCTTGTGCAACGCTTGGAGGTTCACAGCGTCCAGAATTGCCCCAACCCCCAACGCGCCCCCCAAGATTGGCCCAAGAGAGCCCAAGAGGGCGCCAAGACGGCCCAAGAGGCCCTCAAAACGGCTCCAAGAGGGGCTCAAGAAGGGGACCAGGAACCAAAAAGTCCAGCCTTCAGCCCCAAGAAGCCCCCAAGAGGCCCCGAGAGGACGCCCCAGGAAACCCAAAGAGGCCCCCAAGAGGTCCCCAGAGGCCCCAACACGGCCCCCAAGAGGCGTCAAAACTGCCTCCCACAGGCCCCCGAAAGGCCAACCACGAGAATTCAACCAATATCCATGAGGTCTCTAACCCACCACCCACCGTCTCCGAAAAAATGGCAGCCGCCCAGCGGCACAGCATGGACAACAGTACCCCGACAAACGACAATGGCGAGGCAATATGGGCTGGAGGAATGAGCGAAGCGATACAATAATAAAATAATACTAATCGTAGTACTGGCGAGCCCAGCATAGTGCGGTGCTAGTGCTATGCAGAGAACGGCGGGACCTCGCCATCCATGGGGGGCTGCGGACTGCGAAACAGTCGCCACATTCGAAGGATGATGGGGCTCCAGAGGAGTGCCAAGCAACGGCCAAATGCAAGTGTGCCAGGGTAACGCTTCAGGGTGCTCGCTGCGTTATCGTATCACCAGAAGGGAGAGGGAGGGGGGATGTTTTTAATAGCGTCCCCGATGGGTTACACAGTTCCGCGAATCAGTTAGTGCCAAGGTTGTGCAGCACCTCTCGGACCTCGGATCACATCACGTCGAAATCTGGGTCAACAATATCAGAATTCGGCGGGGCCGTCGCGGCTGCCACCGCGGCCATCACAAGGAATCGACTGACTTGCAGAGTTAACCGCGCGCACTGAAACCTGGGGGGCGAACCAAGGCTGTGCTACCATGAAAATGTGATAGGTGCAACGTCCCCCAGAAGACACCAATACTTTTAGCAAAGCAACGACGAAAATGAGCACTGCAGGCAGGCACGAAAGTGATGTGAAACAAGTACATCCTTCTCACCCAGTCGCAACGCTATACATTAACACCTCTTCCTCCTCCACCTCCTTCCCGCTCCTACCCCATCCTGCACATCCCACTCCATACCATTATTCCTCCTCCTTCTCCTCCTGCTGACCCACACCCTCCCCCCTCTCTCTTGATCCTTCTCTCGTACCTCCTCCCCTCCTCCCTCTGCTGGACTCACCGTGATCCTCCCGGTGCCCGCACATCCATTTCCTCACCCTCCTCCTTCATCCCTCCTCCCCATCGCCCCCTGCTTATACTCTCCTTCGCATCCCCTCCTTCTCCCTCACCCGCGACCTCCTCTCTCCTCCACCTTCCCGTAGAACGTGGAACCGTCAAGAGACCCCAAACCATCTCGTAACCTCCTCCTCCTCCTCATGGCTGGAAATATCACAATCGAAAGGCCCCACGGTGACTCGCCTTGCCCGTCATGTTCTCCTGGCTGCCGGTCCCGGAGTTCAGCGCCCCGATCGGGATGCTGTCGAGGGCGCTGGCGTTGATCTCATGAGGGCTCAAAACGACGAACACACAAACACACGTTTCCCCCGAAATGTGGCAACAGAATACGGGAAATGACCCGACTGAGAGCAGCGGCGAGAACCGTTTCCCTCAGGACCCTGTCCCTCATGACGATGACGATGAATGAGCATACGCTCGAAACACAAACGACGGCCATGTTGGGGTGCCCCTTGGAGCCTCTTGGGCTGTTGCGAATCGTCGGGACATGGAATGAGCAAAATTGACAAAATCCATTCAACAACCTAAGGAGAATCAGCAAATAGTCACCTCGGGGCTCTCTTGGGGCCGATGCAGACCAGCGAAGACGAATGGAGCAACCATAAAAGCTCTGGCTGGACAATCGCTCATCTCAATACTCTGTCTCAGTGCATCTTGTGATGCACGGGGCGTGAGCCATGCATTTCTCGTTCAGCAGGTGGTGTGTGTGTGTGTGCCTGTGTGCCTATTAGGGGCCCACTTGTGGAGGCTCAATCGGACGATCTTGAACTCGTTTTGAACTACGTGTTGGCGCTCACACCCGTCTGGGGCCGTCCACCCTTCACCCCTTCCTCCCCCGCCCGTAAAGACACGCTTCGCGCCGTCGCCGTCTGGGAATGGCGGGGGGTAGCTAATCCTTAGACGGCGGTGGCGCAAACCGTCATCGCAAGAGGCTGACAAGAGCACGCCCATCCTGGAGCCGAGCCACATCCTGGAGCCAAATCGGGCCACGTTCCCAGGCCCCCGACGTCGCCGTGTGTCTGCCTCACGACGAGGACCCCCAGGGGTATGGACTCCTTCCCGGGGACAAACCGGGACATGCTCCCGGACCCCCGACGTCGCCGTGTGCTTGCTTCACGACGTGGACCCCCAGAGGTATGGACCCCTTCCTGGGTACACCCTGCGAAATGCTTTAGAAATCATGGGTTAAGAAATTCATAGTCTCAGAACTTGAATAAAAACCCAAAATTCCCATTCAAATCTTAGGATTTACATTGAAACGTTAAGAATAATCGAGACTCTGGCCGAAAACTTAAGTTTTCTTAAGCATCGCCTAAGGTGTACCCTTGGTTCATCCCGAGCCATTCTTTGACGGTCCCGGGGCCGGGTCCCTGCTCACTCCTGCTCCTCCCCCTTCTTGTTTGCAACATCCCCCCACCTCCTCCTCCTCCTCCTCCTCCTCCTCCTCCTCCTCCTCCTCCTCCTCCTCCTCTTCCTCCTCTTCCTCTTCTTCTTCTCCGTCTTCTGATCCTCCTCCTGCTCCTCCTCCTCTTCTCCTCTTCATCCTCCTCATCATCATCCTCCTCCTCATCCTCCTCATCCTATCATCCTCTTCTTCCTCCTCTCCTGCTCCTCTCCCTGCTCCTCCTCCTCATCCTCCTCACCCTGCTCGCTCCTGCTCCTCCTCCTCCTCCTCCTTTTTCTCCTCCTCCTCCTCCTCCTCCTCCTCCTCCTCCTCCTCCTCCTCCTCTTCCCGGGTGCTCGCTGACGGAGGGCAACAGACGTGGGGTGAAGACATGTGCACCCGCCGTGTACCTTTTGGGGGGCCCGCGGTGGCAGCTCCAGCGGCTGCGCAGAAGCCTCCTCTCGGGCCAGCTTCCTTCCATTCTCGACCCCCAGAGATTTTTAGAGGCCTCCTCCTCCTCCTCCTCCTCCTCCTCTCCTCCTCTCCTCCTCCTCCTCCTCCTCCTCCTCCTCCTCCTCCTCCTCCTCCCCCTCCTCCCTCCTCCCCCTCCCCCTCCCTCCTCCTCCTCCTCTCCTCCCTCCTCCTCCTCCTCCTCCTCCTCCTCCCGAATGGGGTCCGAGCAGGTGGGGTCGGAGGATCGCGCCACATCGCCGATGCATCGCCGATGCATCGGTGATGCTTCGGCTATGTTTGCGACGCATGGGCGACGTCGGCGCGGGGAACTTCCGGCTCCACATCGAGCCGCATCGCCGATGCATCGGCAGTGCGGCGCGATCCTCCGACCCCATCTGCACTGGACCCATCTGGGAGGCCTGGATTGCTGCCTCCCCGTTGCCGTCCGCCCGATCCTCATTCGAAGAGCCCCCGGGGGGCCGAGGTCTTGTCGAGCTGCAAGTACGTGGGCTGCTGCGGCGCCCCCGACACGTGGTTCGCCTGCTGCTGCAGCAAACTTCTGGGCGTCTCCATGATGTACAGGTGGCCGGGGATCGTCAGCGTCTGCTTGGTGCCTCCGCCGTGCGCGCGAGGGGAGAGAGGCTACACATGCGCATCGGCGGGGCCACGGCCAGAAAACACATGATGCCTCAACAGGCTCCCCCTTCAGAGCCTGAGCCGACGGCGGAGAAATCCCCTCCTCGCGCCGGCGCGCCCCAAGTGCGGCAACCCAGACTTCGTCCTCCCGACGAAGCCCGACACAAGCGAGGGGAGAGAGAAGGTAGATGAGGAGGGGGAGGAGAAGGAGAAGGGTGAATAGGGAGGGGGGCAGTGAGCAAGGGGTAAGGAGGATTAGGAGGAGGGGGAGACAACATCAGTAATGTGGGTCCCCTGCCAAGGCCACGGGCGCCCTGGTGCAGGTAACCCAACTTCGCGCATCGCGCCCCGCGATGCGCGTTTATCTTCGCGCCCTCGCTCCCTCGCGCCGCCGCCCTGGAGGAAGGCAACAGCTCTGGCCCAGACCGCGACGCGCGAAGCGCGGGTATCTTCGCGCCCCCGGGGGTGACCCAGGCTGCCCAGTGCCTGGAGCTCAGGACCTCTCGACCTCCATATCCCGTGCGGGTTGGCGGAGCACGGGAGTGGCGCGAGGGGGGCGGCTTTTCGAGAAGGCAGGGGGCTTTGAAGCAGGCTGTTTTTTTTGTTTGAAAAGCCCACTGGACATCTGGAAAGACCTCCGGGAAACCTATGGGCCCTCCTGCGGAATCCGCTGCCCCCTGCCTCCTAAGAAACGCCTGGTCCTCTCGGACTTGATCACTTTACTCTGTGCGTCGTACCCCGCGGGGCGCGACGCGCGGTTAGATTCGCGCCGTCGCGTCGCCTCCCGGAGAAGGTCAGCGAAGCGCTTCTAGACGCGACGCGCGAACAGCGGCTATCTTCGTGAACCTCGGGGTAACCTCGCCGCTCGTCGCCGTTGTCTGCTCCTTCTCCTCCTCTGGCCCGACCCGGCTCTCTTCTCCGCTGTCAGGCCACGGGGGGGCCAGGCCACCTGACCGCGCGTCGCGCCCCGCCACCCGAAGTCCCGACGCTCTCCCCAGGATCGCGCCTTCATCCCGAATTGTGTTCTGACGGTCCTGGGGCCCGGCGAGGGCCCGCCAGAGGCCGAAAACGGACAAAGCCACCCCATTCGTGATTTTCCCGCAGCGCGAGAAGGGCAGCCGCCCTGGCCATCGTCGCGACACGCGACGCGCGATTCTCGTCGCGCCCCTGCGGGGTGGCCCGGCTGTCGGCCTGGGGAGAGGAGGCGCGGGCCCGGGCGCGCCGTTGCTGCCCTGCACGTGGAAGTGCAGGGGGGGCAGCTCCTTGAGGCCAACCTGCCGTGGTAGCCGCTGCGGGGAGATCGGATGCAGAGGGGGGGGGGGCCTTACTTCCTCGTCGTTCCTCGTCCTCCGTCCTCCTCGCTCTCCTCTCGGCCTTGCGGTCCCTCTTCAATACTCTTTCAAGACTTGCCCAAACCTCCTCCTCCTCCTCCTCCTCGCCCCCCTCATCCACCTCGTCCTCGCCTTTTCCTCCTCTGAATAGATGGGAGATACAGAGAGAGGGGGAGAGAGAGAGGGACAGAGGAAGAAAGAAAGCGAAGGTCGCGCTGTGCAATTCGCGCACGCTGCCTTGCAGCAGCGCATGCCCGAGCACGAGGAGAACTCTGCTACTTGGGGTGGGAGGCCAAGGGGCAGCTGTCTTCTTTGAAGGGTCCCGGACACACAACTGAATAGGCACAAATCCCGAACATCCCCCATACGGTTCATATTTCATGGATTTTCGACTTCCCCTCCACTGACAATACTTTCCTATATTTTCACTGGCATCGGCGATTATTTGTGTCAGTGCCACTTTGCCCCTCCAGACTTCCTGCTGCATCCCAGCGGCCCAGCGTGCAACATGGAGGAAGAGCTCTGGCCGACGGCGCTGTGCGCATGGGTGCTGTTGCGCAGGCCAGAATCGAGGAACAAAACAACGGCACAAACATACACTGTCGCAGCTCTGCGCGCATGCCCTGCATCGGCGTTGGACCCGCGGCGCGCGGAGCCCGCCAGCGGGGCCCAGCGCCGGTCCAGGACATCCGCGCGGAGCTGCGACAGTGTATGTTTATGCCGGTCTTGGCTATTCGACAGAAGGCTCGCGGGCCGGGCTTGCCGCGGCCTCCGCGGCAGAGCAAGGCCGGGGGGGGGGCCTGGCCTGGGCCCGGCCTTCTGCGGCGCCCAGCTGGACGACAAGTCGGGGCACTCCACCGTCTGCACCCACGGCTCGGGGGTTGCCAGAAGGCACCCCTGGCCCAAAGTGCCCAGTGATTCTCGATCCATTCTGGAGCCCCTGGGGCCCGCTGGGCCTTGTGAGGGGTGCTCCGGAGGCTGCGGCGGCCTCCAGGGGAATCCGGGGGTGCCATGCCTTGGGCAAAAATGATGGGCCTGTTTTCCACCACCACCACCATAAGTTGGAGGGGGGAAGGATGTGGAGGAGGAGGAGGAGGAGGAGGAAGAAGAAGAGGAGGAGGAGGAGGAGGACCCCCTCCTCCTCCTACTCATGGTGGTGGTGGTGGAAAGCAAGCCCCCGAAAAAAGGCGTTTCCGGCAGCACCCGGAGGGCAGGCTGGAGGGCTCCGTGGCTGGCCTCGTCCGACCCCGGCCCCACCAGTAGACAGCCGCGCTCCACCACTGGCAGAGTGACTGCCCGCAAGTGGCCGGGATCCGCCGCGGGGGATCTACGATCCATTACATCGTTGGGAATCGAAAACTGGTCAGGTCAGTGCTCCTGCCCCTCCTCTCCCCCCTTCCTTCCTCGCCCCTCTCGAGGGAGGAGGGGGGGGAAAGAGGGGAAGGAGCGCTGACCTGACCAGTTTTCCCTTCCTGGCATCGAGGAAGACATGTCAGCTCCGGACGTGTGCGAGCAGGCACTTTGCGAGGAGTCGTGGAACGCGCTCGGTGAACCGGGGGCCCTTCCGGGAGCAGCTGTCCCCACGTGGGATCGCTGGCGACCCCCTCGCGACTCGCACCCCTGCCTGGAGCCGGCCTGCTCGAGCGCGCCGCGAGGGCGCGGGGCGCCGCAGTGGGCGGACGTCTCCGTCCGCCACCTGGCTGCGGAGCAGGTTGCGGGCAGGGCGGCGCGCAGGCCTGGGGAGGCGGGCCGTGTGGGGGAGCTGGACAAGCTTTGGGTCGGGCAAGTCCTGCTGCAGGCGGATTTGGGAAGAACGATACAAGACAAAGTCAAACAATACTTGTTGCACGATGGCAAGGGCATGGACAATCGTCACCAAACGAATGTTTGAACTATTCTTGTAGATTCCTCCTGTACAGGGACACGCCCGACTTGAGAAAAGCTGGCAAGGTACCCCAGCGGCGAGGGCCAGCAGCGACTGGTACGGCAAGTGACGGAGCACTTGCCCGACGACCGCCTCGCCGCTGAGCTGATCCGCGCCTACGAGGCCGCCAGCTGCGTCGTCCAAACGCAGCTGGCACTTAAGCGGCGGAAGGCCGGGGGTCTGCGTCAGGCCGGACGGCGCCGACGCTGCTCTCTCTCTCTCTCTCTCTCTCTCTCTCTCTCTTCATCAATTTCCTCGTCCTTCTCCTCCTCCTCCTCATTGAGGTCGCCTGACTGCTGCGCTGTTGCTCCTTTTTGTCTGTCCCCTCTCATCCCCTGTCCCCCTCGTCCTCCCCCGCTCCTTGCCTCAGGCGGGCGCGCGAGCGCCCAAATGGGTTCTGGTGGCTCACGGCTCCCCGCCGCGCGCCCGTCTCGTGCGCCTTCCGATTCTTTCATGCTGCCTCCTGCCCCCCCTTCCTTCTTCCCCTGCCGCTGCTTTTTGCGGTGTGTCCTGGCGCCCGCACCAGGGCGGGCTGTCCCCCCTCGCCTGGGTGTTGAGAGACGCCGCGCTGATGGGACGTTCCCCGGTTGCTGCTCTTTTGACCTCCGGCCGAGACGCCTGGCCCCGGTGGACACCGGACCTCAAGCGGGTCTGGTGCCGGGTCCGCGGACAGAGAGAGAGAGAGCTCTGGGTCCCGAGAAGCATCTCTTCTTCACCTCGGCCTCCTCTCCTGGCGGTCAGCGCACCGGGCCGCCGCCCACGGCATGGGGGGGTGGCCTGCGCAGATTCCCTCACCGGCCTGGGCGTGAGGCACGGGGAGCAGGAGCGACAGAGTGATGTCCGCCTGTTCAACGGAGGCGAAGCTGCGCGCAGTGAGGAGACGGGGCCAGCAGGAAACAGCATTGCAACGTGAGGCCCACGGGGCTGTCCGAGCTTCTCCGGCAGGTGTCCGCCCATCGCTCGGGCGGCAAGAGCTGCACATGCACACCGACCTTGGTCAGGCTGGGGCCTGTGCGATGACGTGCCGTGCCCTGGCGTGGAGGAGGACGGGAGTGAAGCGGCGGGGAGAGGGTACAGCACGAGAAATAGAGGGAGTGGCGGGAGGGAAGTTGCGTGAGGAAGAGTTGTTGTGCGAAATTAGCGCTCACTACCACGGCGCTCTGCTGGAAAGGGCTCTTCCCCGCGTCACAGGAGGAGGCGACGACAAGCGTAGCCCCTCTCCATCTTCATCATCGGACCAACGCTCACACAAGCAAGCGGCAAGTATTTAAAGGAGCATCTCTGTCACTGCGGAGATCACACCGGTGAAGGACGACGCGCAGAACAAGCTGTCTCCCATCCCATGAGGTATCATCCAAGTACTGCTTCCCACTCCTGTCTCCTCTGCTCTCTTCTTCCTCATCCTTCTCACATCTGATCAGACATGTTCCACACCCTCGTCCTCCTCCTCTTTACCCCGCTCCCGTCCCTCCATCATCCTACTTCTGGGTGCCTCCTCCACCTCCTCCTCCTCCGCCTCCTCCCTCCTTTCTTCAGTGCTCTCTGTTCTATGCTATCTGTCTCTCTCTCTCTCTCGTCCATTCTCATTATTTGATCGTATCCGGCCGCCTCCTTCAACAAGTTCGCGTCGTAACAACGTCGGCGTTGATGACGGACACCGCACGGATTCTTCAACCTTGAACGAAGCGCAGCCGTCCGGTGAAGCGCAAACCTCTCGAGTTCGGCCGCTTCCTTCCAGGACTTTGGAAGCGATCAACCCGGAACGCCCGCGCTGGGGTCGCCGCCGCGTCAACGCGGTGCGACCCTGGCGAACTCCTCGCCCGGCCTCGTCCTCCCCTCCTCCTCCTCCTCGGAAGCCCCCTTCGTGGGAACGCCGATGAGTAAGTAAGTGAGAGACGGAGGGGCAGGGGGAGGAGGTATTTTTTTTGACCTCTACAGGTCCACCGCAAAGTGTAACCAGCTGGCAGGGGGAGGAGGTAGGGACCGTGGAGAAGGCAGGAGTGGGGCTGCTGGGAAGCACGGGAGGAGGAGAGAGGAAGGAAGGGAAAGATAGAGCGGGCAGAGGGGAAGATGATGAGAAGGGGGAGGAGAAAAAGGGAGAAGCAGGAGGATGACGACGACGACGACGACGACGGCGGCGGCGACGGCGACGACGACGACGAGGACTACGACGAAGACTGCCACTACAGCTGCGCACGTGCTACGCGGCGCCCTGCCACCGCCGCGACAGCCGACGGCGACGGTGAGCGCGGCGACGGCGACCTGGACGTCGACGACTCACGCCATGAGCGCCAGCAGTGGCGACGGGGGCGACGACCAACTCGCCTCGCCAAAATTCTGCTAGAGGAAGATTAACTGCATCAGCCCTAACTTCTAGATCTCCGCGCGCCAGGGACGGCGGCAGCAGGGGAGGCTCAGTGCTGATCCAACAAATCCGTGCGGACCTCCGAAAGAGATGATTCCTGGCCCTCCAGTGGTGGTGGGCGCTCGCTTTGCAGACACAACACCCCGCGTCACCTCACCGACCTCCCGCTGCCCCCTCCTCCCGTCCCTGCGGTGCCACCAGCCCATTTCGGCACGTCTACGCGGGTGGACTCAGCGGGGCGGGAACGGATCGCCCAACAAACATAAATAATCGAAAATGGCAGGGCAAGGCATCGCGGCTAGCAAACTCACTCATGATGTACCACACTTTGTTTCGTAGGAGACGCACTTACCCGGGTCAAAGCAAACCCGGCCCAGCCAGGCCTTGCAAGATCCTGCAAACCACTGCAGGATCCTTTTTTTTTTTTCCATGCTCGGGCCATACGCACGCGGCTCTGGCCAGTCACCCTCCAGGTGGGGTGGCCCCACGGTGCCTGGGCGTGCCAGTGGCGGAGACCCAGGGCAGAGACCGTGGGGCGGGTGGCCCCTCACAAGTGCGCAGCACCGCCGAGGTGGCGGTGGGCCTTGGACGGGGGCCTAGTCCGACGATCCCGAGTCGTCCTCGCCGAAACCCACAGGAGGGATGAGTTCCCCA